ACCCCTTCATAATGATGGCTAGTTTCAAGTAGTGTATGCATGCATGATAGCCTTCTGTTCCCCCAAATAGGCACTTTTAAAAACAAGTCCTCCTTCTATTCTTAATACCAGTACTTTTAACATATACCTCTAAATGATTGCATGATTACAAAATAGAAATTCTCCAAGTAAGTACATGAAATCAATAAACAAACTTATCAATAAAACAAAAACAAAATTAAATATAATAAACCTAATAACAAATCTGCTTTAACTCACCGATCTACAGACATCGCAGATAACATCCTCATCGAACTCGATGGAGAGTGACTCCTCTGTCTTCAGCATTTTATGGATGTTTTCCCAGCAAGTTTCTTCCAAATGCTCCATGATCATCTCAAAGATCAATGGAGGAACTGGGGCAGCACCTACCGAGAAAGAATCATACGTGACACAACCTTTGGATGAAGTTGCTTTCTGTTGTTTCAATAACACACAAGGAAATGTTTCCTGCATTCCATTTCTCAACAGCACACAATCATGACTCAGCAAATTGCTTATATAGAGTCTTAGTCCCCATTATTGCGACATCACTTTATACAAGCTATCAAAAGAAGACAGGCTGTTTTCCTGCATTTTTTTTCTCTGGGGATGAGGTGTATGCAGTGTCAACTAATGAATCAAACCAAAGTACTTGTAGTATGCGTGTATCTACAATTAATATAAAAATTAAAAATAGGAACTGAAAAAGAGTTCCAAAAAAAATCTTGAAGTGAAGGTTTAATACTAAATCAAACAAGATCACAATAGATTCCAAAATAGAAAAAAAATGTTCCATAATCATTCTAAAGATCATTGAACGTAAGCCATTTAGCATCCTATCAAGTGCTCATTCTTCCTTCACTATAACTACTATTACTTTTACTACTGCTCATGGCCACTATAAAACATTTGGGATGGGATTCTATCAATCATCAATGTTGTCTATTCAAGTATGAAAACATATACTCTGCTAGTATACTACTTCCTTTAGCAAGCCTTCCACCTATGCTATAATATTTGAACTGAAAAAGGCTAAGTAAGACAGCTGATGAAGTAATAGACATTCAATACTATTTTTCTATTCTCATTCTTCATGAAATTATCTTCAGTTCATTAATAAACAGGGTGCACTACAATTAGTCTGCATGCTATAGGTTTTAGTTGCAAGAGATATTGCACATTTTCCAATAAAAACATTGGTTTTCAGATATTTTTCTTTCTTACCAACCAAACATTAGTTATTTTTTACCAAAAAGCTAAAATTGCCCATTGACTCAAATTACATCTGAATAACATGACATCAGATTCTGTGCTTTACACAAACACTCTGGGACAGAATAAGGGAAAATTAATGAATAAACAAGGCTACTGCTACTGCACCTGCTACTATTACTGCTACTGCTATTACCACTACTATTACTGCTACTACTATTACTGCTGCTGCTGCTATTACTGCTACTGTTACTACAGCAATTGTTACTACCACTGCCACTATTCCAAGTGTCAGAATTATTATCACTACTAGTACTACAGATAATTTAGCTAAGCTGGGATCTCATATCAAATGATGAGCATTCTTCTTTTGTTCACAATGCCTGCTAAGCATACTTCGTATTATTATCATAGATTCCATATCCTTGCACAAGTGTGTAAGCTCAGGGGTCTATTAAGGTAGCATTTACATTCCATATACACAAATTTCTAATGCAAAGCTTCATAAATGTGGCTCTGCAGGGCTCTCTAAATGTAGTCCAGCTGACACAAAGCCATTTAAAAATGCTATTATGGAGATGCAGAAAATCAATCTTGTTATATGTAACTTTTATAGCAAAATAGTGCATACAGCCAATGGAAATTTCTTTTGAAGTCAGGTTTTTGTTTCTGATTTCTATACAAGAACCACTAAAATTATTGCATAAAGAATGAAATGGAAATGAAAAAAAAATCTTATCTATCTGAACCGAATCATGATGGAAATTCCTAGCCCCATACTGAGCCACTCACTGGGCATCACACAGTCTGCCACTGGAGTGAGAATTTGAAGCACAGATTTTTTAAAGGATAAAGGTTAGAAAGAGGCCTTAGGCCTACTTTCAAGGGGCTGTTTGTATAATGACTATCATACTCAAAAAATCTACACAAGCAACTACTGTTTAACACACTCATATATGAATAAGTTTGACTGCTTGAGGTATGATAGGATGTCACCTAGTATGAATGACAGTTTGGCAATGACATGATAAACTGCCAATCTAGGGTAAGTGGGGCAAAAGCAATAGCAATGTACAGATACACTCTATTCGATAAATTCCACATAAGAAGGAAGAAAACTGCTGTGCATGATAAAGCTGCAAATGATCACCAATTACACATTGAGCCACAGGTTTTACTCTCTCTCTACATAACAGTTCCATATATGCATAATATTACAATTTCATATTCAAGCAAGGAGGCCAGAGGTAGAGGGGCATGGCACAAACATCACTAATATCTGCACATTGCCCTTGTTCAGGCATGTCTCAAGCCTTGGTCTGAGCTGTACAATTGAGCTAGTAACCACAAGAAAATTATAGCATATAACTCCAAACTGAAGGTGGGGAAAAGCTTATTAGTTTACTAACAAATTCATTTACTAAATAATACCAAAGACACAAACATCTGCTTTGTAAATGAATCCCAGGCTCACACTAGTCTTAGAGCAAGGTTAAGAAGAAGGTTAAGAAGGTTAAAATTTCATATTTTTTAGTTCCTTTCTTTTAGCCTTCAACAATTTCTTCCCTAGAAGTTTGGAGGGGTAATAATCACATCAAAATTATTCCAGAGAACCATAAAATTCTGGGCTATGTGCAAAAAGATATTGCTATGCTGCTCTACAGTTGAGGTATGTAATGCACTGAGAAAAAAATCAAAAGCAAAGAAATATCTAGCTCAAAAATTCCAATATCACTAAAACTTAGACTGTCATCCCCTTCAGGCAGATTTAGCAGGCTCACTCCAGCAATTATGCTTCTAAACAACTTTGTAAACAAAAGCTAACAGTAAGTATAACATATAAAGTTAAAGAAATACATAGAGTTTTAGCAAAACATTCTAAATCTGATCAAAAACTATATAATCCCAAAATGAAAAGCATATTTCATTAGCAGCTATATCAGCAATGTTGGACTGATTATACGGTTTACTATTTCTTTTTAAAAATATTAGTACTACTAAAAATATACTGTTGTGTATAGTGGTGTATAGTGAACAAGAACCGCAAAGAAAGTAAATTTAGGTGCTATTTTCCCTCTTCCTTGAAATTAAACTTATATCTAGCCAATAAATACCTCTAAAATACAAACTGCCCATTTTACAGAGAAACATAATGACCACTACAGTATGGTGAAAAATCTTACATTTCCTTAAGTGCAACATCAAGCAAGGAAAATGTCTACTTATAAATATATTCTAAATCAGTAATGATAATAGCAAAAAAAAAAAAAAAAATGCAAGCTTGCAATTATTAGCCTGAAACAACAAATGCCTTCTTGCTTACCCATTCTTGCTCTCTCTCCATTGTAGGCTACAAGCCATTTGTCATCAAGATCGTCCATGTCGTAACGGCACATTTTCTCTGCTTTGGTTGGCAGATTACTGAGAATGTGCTGCTCGTTGCTAAAGAAGTCGTCATGGTTCACACGGATGAATTTGTCTTTAGTCCTGGAAATGAAAGCGACAAACTATTAATGCACAAAAATACAAAAGCCTCTCTTGCATTTCCTTTAGAAAAGCATCTTGGAAATGTATGTAACCCCTTGACATGCCCCTGGGATCTTAGTCTATTAATCCTATTTACACACATGGCACCACCAGTACTTACGCACCAAAGAGTCAATTACTAGTCCAGCCTATCTCCCCTTTTTTATTTCTAGTTATTCGCAGTATCACAGAAGCATTATAATTACCATAACGTCAATAATAATAAAAGTATCAATATTGATAGTATCTAGCCTACTATGAGAAATCAAAACATTTTCCAACAAATTCAAGGAATTTGGGAATCAGGTGAAGCGACATCTAGCCTACTAAATGACTCCTTGGTGGGTGAGAACTTGGGGAGCCATCTGCAACAAAAATAACAAAAAACTATAATAGACAGTGCATGTACTCACATTCAAAGGGTTAATAACATCAAATTCATTTCTCATCTCAACATGTAGAATACACTCTAAATCTGATACCTTTCTTATCTTATAATGCAGAAAAAAATGTTTTTTTAAATTCTAATATATCTTTCTATCTGTCTTTGGGCAAAATATAATATGTTTCTAGAAAACTGAACGCAGACCTAATTTCACCACTGAGAAGGAAAATCCCACTATTACTCACAGCCTGAAGTTGCCCTCACGCTCTGGTCGTGGTCTTTGTACAGTGGTGGTGACAGCAGGCTCAGGCAAGGAGTCTGGATTCACAGGGACCTGGACTCCTCGCTCCCATTCTTGCTTCCACGGGTCACCAATGCCCCAATAATCGTCAGATGTTAGTGGCTCATTGTCCGCAAGTTTCATGGCAGATATAAGATCCTTGCGGAATAACTTTGGTAAAGAAGAGAAGAGACAATTAGAACTTTTGAACTGGCAGGGGTATAAAAATGCAACATTTCATTGTGTGTGAAATAAAACAAGATAAATAAAAATGCTAGAACATCCATACCTCGGCAGGAGCCTCAGATGCTGATCGGTTGTATGCCCGCAGGTCACCCAAATGTTTGGGCGTCCACACAGATCGCTCTTCATCATCAGAGCCGGAGTTGTCAATGCGGCGCTTCTTGCGAGCAGCGGCAGACGGGGCGCCCCCTCCCCCCTCGACCGATCCCGAGGCCTTGCTCAGCTGTCTCTTGATTCGTGCCGACATTTTTAACTTGTCATAATCTCCAGTCCTCTATAGGGGATTCTGCAAAATAGAATTATACACAACAAATTAATATAAGGGTGATAGTT